GGTGGGGCGGCGCCCCAAGCGCCCCTATGGGCCGGCCGCCACTGACACTAATTCATAAAGCAACTTAGACATTTTGATGTTCCGGACCTTTGCATGGGGACATTTTCTCTAACTGGACCTCGTTGAATTTTAGTTGAATACCCCTGATGTAGAATATAATAATAATAATAATAATAATATTAATTAATAATAATAAGCTTTATTTGTATAGCACCTTTCATACAGGAGTTACAGTCCAAAGTGCTTCACAGTTTCATAAGATTGAGTTTAAGAAAATGGATGTCACATAAAATACAGTTAACAAGAACATTGATATCACATATGATATGAACGGGTTAAAAGACATACAAATATACATAACATTTGCATATAATAGACATTGAGATTCAAACTTCAGGATAATAAAAGTAAAATAAGTAGCTATTTAAAAGGCACAAGGCCCTTGAGGCAAAATAGGCAATGATGAAGGTTTAACAATTCATTTGATGTAGACAGTTTTACTTAAGTGTTGTGTATCAAAGAAACATATATTTGTTGCAAGTTTATTTAAGAATAGGAAGTGAACATATAATATCAGTGCCCCTAAAAATATATCTAATTGTATAGGACATAAGGCGTGTGAGTGGCTTAGAAAAAACAGTCTATGCTTGGCATCCATTATTATTAATTGTATATTAGTTTCAGCTCATTGAAGATAGTGCATTCTAGGAACTAGAGGGACTCCACACCCACTTTTTTCAATAATTCAAAGGCTTTATTTTCATGTGTACAAAATTACACAAAGAAAAACATTTCTAAAGCAATAACCCTCTACAACTCTTCATCCCTGGCAGAGCAGATAACTCCCAGCACCATACTTTGTTTGATCCGTCTGCTACATTGTACTTACATCGTGCATCGTGCATCGTGCATCTCTACATCAGAATGTCCTGATTTTTTCTGAGTGACTACATGGGGTGTCCTGCTACCAGCCTGGAGTGAAATGATTATTTGATACTGGAGAGTTTTTGTTTTATTCTTATCTAAACACAGAGGGATGATAGCTCATATATGAGACTTCAAAGGTCTTTTATTTTGAAACTGTACATCAGAATGTCCTGATTTTTTCTGAGTGACTAGATGGGATGTCCTGCTATCACCCTGGAGTGAGATGAGTCTTTGATACTGGACAGTTTTTGTTTTATTCTCATCTAAACACAGAGGGATGATAGCTCATATATGAGACTTCAAAGGTCTTTTATTTTGAAACTCTACATCAGAATGTCCTGATTTTTTCTGAGTGACTAGATGGGGTGTCCTGCTATCACCCTGGAGTGAGATGAGTCTTTGATACTGGACAGTTTTTGTTTTATTCTCATCTAAACACAGAGGGATGATAGCTCATATATGAGACTTCAAAGGTCTTTTATTTTGAAACTGTACATCAGAATGTCCTGATTTTTTCTAAGTGACTAGATGGGGTGTCCTGCTATCACCCTGGAGTGAGATGAGTCTTTGATACTGGACAGTTTGTTTTATTCTCATCTAAAAACAGGGATGATAGTTCATACAATAGATATTTCAAAGGTCTTTTCTTTTGAAACTCCTTAAGATTTACATTCACTCATTTATAATGTGGTAGTTATACGTAGTTTGTTTTAAATAATTATTGATCACATTATATAGTACATATTTCTTAATTGAATATGTTTGGTATGTTATTTTGGTGTATATGTTATTGACCGAGTAAGTGCTTTTATTTTGAAGGCAGTGTTTCCAGGACTCTACCGTAATGCATAGGATATTCGCGCACCGCAATATCACGTGCGGGCTGGCTTGACTAGGTTTTCCCGAGTGGAGGCTGGCTTGACCGCAGTGCCGTCCTCGCTCCGAGCTGGACACATTACATTGGTCTCTATCTGCAGCCGGAGAAGAAACGAGTGCTCAGGGGCCGTCTGCAAAGTGCAACTCCGAAAAAAGAATATAATAATATTCAATCACTTCACTATTCTACAGTATATTACTACCAAACTCATTACACACATCAATAGTCTTCTGTTGCTCATACTACATCAGAGAGTTTGGAAGAATATGGTTTGGAATAATGTTGGTGAATATTTATACTGTATAATAGTAACGTTATTGAAGATGATGCCATATTTATTGAAGATTTTACACTATAAATATTCACCAAAATTATTCAAAAGCACATTCTTCCAAACTCTCTGCTGTAGTCTGACCAACAGGAGACTATTGATGTGTGTAGTGAGTTTGGTAGAAATATACTGTATAATAGTGAAGTGATTGAATATTATTGTATTCTCTTTTTTCGGAGTTGCACTTTGCAGACGGTCCCTGAGCACTCATTTCTTCTCCGGCTGCAGATAGAGACCAATGGCTTTTTTTGATCAAAATGTGATTGTAGTTCGTTGTCAACCTTACCACGATACGTAGGAGACGTCATTTGTGTCTGAACAACGTTTTGTTCATGAGTTATTGATCCGTGAAATCTGAATCTGCCAATATCTGTTAGGATCTGTCTGTGTTGTAGTTTTGTATGTCTGGTTATGGGTATTTTCATCCTTGTATATTGTCTGGTCCTTTTCCCTGTGTTTTTCCTCCCGTCGTTAGTTTCCCTGGTGTGTCTAGTTGTCTGATTGTTTTCACCTGTGGCCCTTGTGTTTCTCCTCCCCTGCCCGGCTGTGTCTCGTCTTGTGATTACCCCTTCCTGTATTTAGTCTTGTCTCTTCCTGTGTTCAGTGTCGGTTCGTCTTGTGTTGTGAGTAAACTGCGGTGAGTGTTCTGTTCTGTCTCTGAATATTGTAGCCTTGAAATAAAGGAATTATTTTGTCACTTAAATCTGCATTTGGGTCCTGCTTCCTGCACACCGTAACAGTACGAACCGACCAACAATGGACCCAGCGGATTTTAATTTTGATTTGGACTTGTTATCCCTAGAGTACACTCTTCAGTGTCATTATGCTGTATGGAGTAGAACCTTGGCTAAAAGGGACAAAGAGGCTGTCCTCAAAAAGGCACAAATGGAGGTGGACAACATGCCATGGTTGAGAGGCTCATTGCCTGAGTTTCTCAGAGTTTTCTCACGCAGCCCTGAGTGCCAGTCTCCATTCTCTGACCCTTTCTTGGGATCCCGCCTGGCGTTTGGAGGTCCACAGAGCCTCCAAAAGACTTCTAAAAGACGCAAGGTCAGGAAGCCAGCTCGTACTCAGGTACCGGTCCTAGCAGCCATGGTTCCGGCTCCAGAGCCGGCCCATACAGCCATGTTTCCGGCTCCAGAACGGGATCTTACAGCCATGTTTCCGGCTCCAGAACCGGACCTTACAGCCATGATTCTGGCTTCAATTCCGGCTCCAGAGCCGGCCCATACAGCCATGTTTCCGGCTTCAGAACTGGATCATACAGCCATATTTCCGGCCATGGTTCCAGACCTAGTACAGTCCCCAGCAGCCATGGTTTCAGCCCCAGTTCTGGCCCGAGCAGCCATGGTCCCGGCCCCAGTCCCGGCCCCATCTGCCACAGTCCCCTCTCCAGTCCCCTCTCGAGTTCCCTCCTCTAGTCCCTCCTTTAGTCCCTCCTCTAGTCCCTCCTCGAGTCCCCTCTCTAGTTCCCCTCTCAAGTCCCCTCTCGAGTTCCCTCCTCTAGTTCCTCCTCTAGTTCCTCCTCTAGTCCCCTCTGGAGTCCCCTCTCTAGTTCCCCTCTCGAGTCTCCTCTCGAGTCCCCTCTCGAGTTCCCCCTTGGTTCCCCTCTCGAGTTCCCCCTTGGTTCCCCTCTCGAGTCTCCTCTCGAGTCCCTACTTGAGTCACGTCTCAAGTCCCTACCCAATGTCCTGGTCCGTTGGAGGTTCCGCTGGGGGTCCTGCCAACTCCATGTCTGTCTCGTTGGAGGTCCCGCCGTCTACTCTCCTGCCGGGGGTCCTGCCAATCCCATGTCCTGTCCCGTTGGGGGTCCCGCCGTCTACTCTCCTACCGGGGGTCCTGCCAGTCCCATGTCCTATGCCGATGGAAGTTCCGCTAGGGGTCCTTCCGGCTCCATGTCCAGTCCCGTTGGAGGTCCCGCGAACTACTCTCCTGCCGGGGGTCCTGCCAGCCCTGTATGCTGTCCCGCCGACTGCCCTTCTGCCGGGGGTCCTGCCAACCCTGTGTCCTGTCCTGTTGGAGGTCCCGCGAACTTCTCTCCTGCCGGGGGTCCTGCCAACCCTGTGTACTGTCCCGTTGGGGGTCCCGCCGACTGCCCTTCTGCCGGGGGTCCTGTCAACCCTGTGTCCTGTCCTGTTGGAGGTTCCGCAGACTGCTCTCCTGCCGGGGGTCCTGCCAATCCTGTGTCCTGTCCCGTTGGGGGATCCTGCCGAGGCCTGTCCCACCAGCGCCGGTTCCTGTCCGGCCGACACCGGGTTCTGCCCGGCCCCCTGAGAGCCGCGGTCTTCGCCCTCGAGCCCGGCCCCCTGAGTGCCGCGGTCCTCGCCCTCGGGCCCGACCCCCTGACTTTTCCTGCCACTGCCTTCGCCCCTCCATAACCCCCTTTTTAAGCTCTGCCTTGCCCCTGGGCTGTCAGCCCAAACCCGTCCTCCAGACCCCCTCCACCCACCCTGTTGGCCCTAGTTTTGTGTTCCCACGAATTACTAATGCGTGGGAACGTAATAACTCATTTGTGGCCACGCATTATTAATTTGTGGCCACGCATTATTAATACGTGGCCATGTATTAATATTTTTCTCACCAATGTCACCAGGGGGGCTCCGTACAAAATGCTCTTATTCTGAAATGTTTTTCAGTTCCTAAATACAACAAAACTCATATACTTAAATGCAGACATGAATGATGCTATGTAGAGATGGAACAAGTAGAACCGTGGCTATGTTTGGACCCTTATTCCTCCGTTGACAAGGTCTCAAGTTCCTGAACACAATCATAATTCAGAAAGTACATACTATACGTTAATAAAATATGTAACTTTTTTCTGACCTGCATCCTTTAATTGTGTGCCTCCGTTTGTTTCCCCAGACACAGGAGTCCCTGAACCCCGACAACCTGGAATACTGGATGGAGGACGTGTACACCCCTGGCTACGACTCACTGCTCAAGAGGAAGGAGGCGGACTTCCGGAGGACCCGGGTGTGTAAGATTGGAGCGCTGATCGCAGCAGCTACCTGCACCGTGATCCTGGTCATCGTGGTTCCAATCTGCACCATGAAAACATGAGAGTACCAGCATGGAGGGACCCTTCTTATTTATGCTTTTACTGCTGCCCTGTGTGGACGGGGCTAGTGTGCGGTGGATTTACGGACAAAATATGTTAGGGTAAGACGATGTCAGCTGGAGGTTTTAGTTTTTCATTCAGTTCTTATACTTGAGGTCCTTTTTTGCACATATTAACATAATTAAGACATCTATTGTATGATAGAAATGAATTCAGCAAGTGCATCGTATATAAATATACTGTATTGGTATTGGTATTGGTTTACCAGTTGTAGTTGATTGTATTGTTATAAACTCTGCCGGACAGTTTGAAGGTTATTGATTTCATTTAGCATCTTTGCCGCAGATTAACTGAAATGAAATTGTTACTGTAGCCAGCGTAACATTTTTTTCCCTACAATTACTGAAAGGCATATTTTGATCAAAGTTATTTTTGAGGAATTATCTGGTTGAATGTGAGACTTTATCTTTATTTTATTATTATTTTTCAATAACAGCAAGCATTTAAAGTTATGAAACACTTTTTTCTAACTTAAAATATATTGTACTTCAGTTGAAATATATAATATATAAATATCATAGGTGTACATGGATTGCAGACAAAGTATGACTAAGCAACCGATCTGAATGTATTGATAACTATATCCTGTTCACTTGGAAAGGGATGACTTGAGAAGGCACTGAACGTCCTGCCGTCCCTTTTTTCTGAGTTCTACCCAGCTCCTCTACAGATGTGGACATGTTCTCTTTCGTCCCATCAGAAATCTAACCTCACCCTTTTTATGAACACATGTTTTTCCTTCTTGTTAACCCATACAAGTGCATGTTAAGGCCGGGACACACCAAGCTGACACCAAAGAACTGACAGAGACGGACCCCCGACTGTTGTGTCGCCTCACGTTTCTGCGTCTTGGCCATGTGTCGCACTGGAACACACCGCAAAGACTTCAGCCGACGGCCAAGAAGCACGTACGAACTGCGCATGCGTGAGTGGCAATAACTCTCCTTACCAGCAGGCGGCGGTAGTGTGTATTCGTCATTCGAAAGAGGCAACAACCGGAAGACGGACTGCGTGATAACCGAGTGAAGAAGAACAGACTGCGTGATATAAACAAACAACAAATAGCGTGTGCTTTCGATTTTCAGCTCATGGGGGCTTTCCCGAACCTGTGTCGAGAGCTGGAGTTAAATGAAATCTCAGATTTGCCTTCTTAATAGTTTGTTTGGGTCCCTCACTTCTGTTTCGCTTCTCATACACTGATTCGCTAGCTGAACAGCCAATCAGAGTGATTTATTTTGCCGACAGCCTTTGGCCGACTGCCCACCGATTCGACATCGGTGGGTTTTCGGCCGAAAAGGTGTCGGCACAGCTGAAAAGACACAACGGTGCGGGACACACCAATCTGAGTAGGGCGTGTCGATGCTCATCGTCGGCCTGACGCCCCCACTGACGGCCAAAATCGGCTTGGTGTGTCCGGGCCTTTAGATTAACTAGGGACCCTCTGAATTTACCCAGGGGTGCCGTAAGGGGGTGAAAAGTTAGGACGATGCTAAGGGCCCGTGACTGACAGGGGCCCAAACTATTTTAGAACATTAAGAAAAAAACGTTTAAGTAACCTTTCATCATTCATCAATAATTAGCATTAATAGAACGTTATATTGATGATGTACTCACTAAACTTACCTTTAACTTATTTTCTTCCAAAAGTTAATTATCCAAAGCCTCTGTACACCCCCCTCTATTTACATGTAATGGTTTGGTCCTGCCTCCAACAGCACCGGCACTTTCTAGCAGAGAGTGAGAGCATGTGAGGAGGGATAGTACTTAGTCGTTGAGACATCGTACACACATAACAAAGTCAGGCTTTCAAGAAAGGAGAGAAAGACAAGAGAGAGGGACTAAAGGGCGACATGTCACCCAGTTTTTCAAAAGAAAAGGTGGGTGTGGTCCATGAGTGGTGGAAATTAGTCTGTTAGCTAAGCTGAGTCCATCGTAAATAATAATTGTAATGTTTTGCTGACATTAAGTACTGTTAATATCTTCACAGAAAATGCAGAAGTTTTTCATTTCACTCCTCTTTTAGCTGACATTTAATAAATGCAGGTACATTTTTAGCAGCTATTCATACTAAATCAGTTGTCCCTCCCCCTGGTGCCAGGACCAACAGATCCATCTTCAGGCTCAGCAGCCCTGTCCCCCCATAAGGCTGAACCTGAACCAGCTTTTCTCCCAACTGAAGGAGGTGAGCAGCATTGTGTTGAATGACATGCCACTTAACATATCTGAAGGGGTTTCAGAGTTTCATTCAGAAAAAAACAACGGTCTAATTTTATCATTGCACTCATAAACCACATTTATTTTGTTAAACAGAAACTAAATATGATTATATCCGTGACCAGTGGTGTAGTGGGCGTTGGACGCGGGGGTACGCCCATACTTGCCAACCTTGAGACCTCAGACCACAGAAATCGGGAGCATTTCAAAACCACCGCGGGGGGGGGGGGGTGCTAGTGGATCGCCGGAGGTGTATTAGATTAACATTAACATGCTTATTGTAGTTGTAAGTGCACTGTCTTGATGGAGCATATGTGACTTTCAGTTGCGCGCGCAACTAAAGAGACGCGCTACCATGGAAACCAAACAATGGTGTAGCTGTATTAAAGTCAGAGTGGAAACAGTCCTGAGTAAATCTGATTTTGTCAGAAATCGGGATAAATATGACCCCGGGAGGAAACCGGGAGAGGGCAATGAAATCGTGAGTCTCCCGCGAAAATCGGGAGGGTTGGCAAGTAGGGGTACGCCGTACCCCCACTTATTTGAAGCATGATTTTTTTTTTTTTTAATAGTCTAATAAATATAAAATCATTGCCAGTGTTATCAGTTGCAAGTGTGTATTTGTTGTAATAATGACGAAAACATAATATGCAGATTTCACAGTAATTATAATAAAAACGTAGCTCAAGCATTTATGCAACTTGATTTGAAGCGTGTGTGTAGGGTGACCAGGTGTCCCGCTTTATGCGGGTCTGCACACACAGCATTTTTATTATTTGTCCCGCGTCCCACAAATTGAGACTGTCTATTTGAGTGATGAGTAATGTTGTTTAATTCACGTTGGCATACTACAACTACAAAACCATCGGTTTGTTTTTTCATCATGAAATCCAGCCCGGCTCAAACAAACAATTTTTAATCCTCATCCTCACGATCATTTAAAGGTGACCTATCATGCAAAATGCACTTTTGTATGTCTTTTATACATGAATATGTGTCCCCGGTGTTCCAGGAAACTCACCAAGTGTCAGAAAACACAACCCTCTCTCTTTTCCTCCATACCCAAATCTCTGGGCTGCAACGGATCTGATAAAGACTGATCCAGATTTGAATTATTTTCTACGTCACAGAAGTGGTGCTCCGCCCATATGGCCAACTCTCCACCTATCAGGGGAATGTGAGGTTGGTCCACCGCCGGCCATTGCCGCTCGATAGCGCTGGAGACGCTGTAGTACATATGCCAGGCCTGTAAGTGGCGCTGTAGTCTGCCACAAAAGCAGCAAAGAAGATTTCCCGCGCATGGTTTCCATGGTTGCCCTTCTGTTTATTCTCCGCTGTGGCTCTTTTTCTCCCTCCCCGAGGCAAGCGTTTGCTCCCGCTGCTGTAATTCATTGCAATCCCTCCCTCGCTGTAATTCTCTCCGGTTAGTCCACCAGCAGATGACAAACACGTACCTCTCCGCCTCTTCTAAGGAACGAGGGGACCGTGCGGTAGAGTTTCAGTTAGATTTGTTTTCGCCGGTGAACATGTCCGTTGTTTAAATCTTCCGGACAAAATTTGAAAAGTGCCGGTCAAAGGTCTTCTTTGTTGTTTATTGAGCTTTAAAACAAATGAATAATGACTCTATATAATCATATATAAGAATAAAACACGGAGGACGGAGATCTCTTTTTGTCCCCCTCTTCTCCCCGCTGCAGCCCAGCAGCTGATCTCAAAGCATGCTCCCCTCTCCTGCAGGGGGGAGTGGTCAGCTGCAGCTCACAGAATCAGCCCCCTGCAAAAACAGCGCTGGAAAGAGCAAATGGAGCAAAATGAGGCATGGCTAAAATGCAGGACCTGTTTGGTATTTTGAAAAAAAAATCTAAATTGATATACTTTATATAGGTATGGCCCTACAATATATTGTTCAAATATAGCATGATAGGTCACCTTTCATGTATCATATGTTCGCCGAATTAAACACACTAACAATCATGAATTTGCCGTAGTCAACTTCATTAAAACTTTAACGTGCCTAAAATCAGTAATTCACTAAATATGTTTATTTAAAAAACATTTTCATTATTTTTTTTTAACATGATAATGGGTAGAAACGTGTTTACATCTAATAACATATTCATTAAGTAGCAGACTTTAAGAGGACATATTATATTCTGGAGAGCAGAGGTCGCGTTAATGGAATATTTTCCGTCCATCACAGACTTTTTTTTTTTAACAATGACGGAAAAATCTGAAAGTAGTCCGTCATTTTGACAGATTAGAACAAACACGGAACAGCACGAAAGTTTCCCTGCAGCGAGGCTTCTGTGTTATGCCGTGCTATGCATGCCCTCCAAAAAGGAAATGATACCGTTTCCAAACCTAACTTTGCCGTACAAATTGTTGAAATGTCTGTGAGTTTTGGCTTTACGCTGTGCACAGAATGTGTATACGTGGGGTTCTGCATTACAGTACTCTGATGAGGCTCACCTGGGAGAATGTGTGAGCTCAGCACTATTGACTGTGTCAGATGCCCACACTAGAACTACAGAACAGACCAGACCGTCCATCCGTCACTGCTGCTTAAAGCTCCACTCTTCTGTAGGCCAACCGGTACCATGCCTGTTTGCCCAACCCTTTATATAACCTCAGTAGAGTGGTGCAGGGATCACATGTTTCTGTTGGGCAACTCCGAAGTTAGCGCGGCTAATGTGATGTTTATTCGTAAACTGTAGAAGCTTCAGACGTTCATGACGAGTATTTACTTTATTTTGTTATAGAACCAAACATTACAATTTTACTTGTCTGTTAACCACAGACCTTAGACCTTATTTTAGGCATCTACGCAAAAACAGGGGACAAGGTAATTGAAAGTGCTAAAATGCTGACTCATGTTCAGGTTTAAGGTCCTATTCCTGCACCACTCTATTTACAATAGTAGCCTTTACATCCTTCTCTATATGTTTTACCCAGTGTACAATAGATTGAAGGATAAGGCTGAAAGTAATTTTTGTATTGTCCCCTTGAGAGTTCCCCACACTCAATGCAGCAGCCA